TTTAACGAAGCGATTCCACATACTGTATTCCCCTGCACAGCGGTGTTTACGAACCTAACGTCTGGTTGTAAATGTTGTCGGCTATCACTTTCAAAGAACTTCGAATGCGGTCACTCACCTTGCTTATTAGATCTCGCGCACCGTATGAAACAAAAGAAGGAAACTTATAGCGGACGCTGCATATTTTGCTGAAAGTCTCCTCGTTATTGGAGGAATAGAAAGGGGCCTTGCCGACCAAAAATTCATAAAGAAGTACGCCGACGCACCAAAGGTCCACCTAAAAAACAGCATATGTCAAGTTCACAAGTTGCCCATTATCGATGATTACCATGTTGGTATAAAACTGGTGCGCAAGCATCTCAGGTGGTAAATAGTCGATCGTTCCGCACATGGTCTTACGCCTGGAATAACAACAACTTCAAAGAACTAAAACAAATCAAAAACTAAAATTGCATAACAAGGTCAGCAATGGGCGAAGACCTTACAAGTTGTTAGCTCGCTAGTCTTCTAATATGAAACGTAATGTCATTCGAAAACGTTAACTGGAGTGCAACTTGCGACATGATTTAAGGAGAGCTAGAAGTCTCCAAATACTTAATTAAAACGCGTGCCGGAAATCCGCCTTGTTACAACAATTACGGTGAAGAGAACAGACACAGGATTAGACATACCGGTTTCATAGTCTGATTGCAACCTCAGCAAATAGACGCTTGTCATCACACTTAACGCTTACCGTCGTGTACATGTTCCTGGATGCACTAATGACCATAAACATTAATTTTCAAAATAGAGATTTAAGTAGAAATAATGTTACGGATGAAAATTTATATCAATAATCCTATGGATCATTCTGTAACAAGGAAACAACCAACGTGGGGATTGTTGAAATGTTTAGATACGAAAGCATGGCATTGCCGTACAACAAAACCTCGCTAAATGGAGTCTGTTTAATTTTAAATTTTGGCAGAATTAAAATTTTTTAAGTTTAAGACCACAAATTATTTTCATACAAGCCACCTAAAAAATGCAAAAAATGTCATAATTTGCAAAATTAGAAAAATATTTAGCCACATTTGCACAACGTCAATTCATTTAGACCTAAAAATTCTATATAAAATTTAGAAGATAATGATGTCCATACAACATGCGTCAATCTCACCCTTTTACCATCTAGTGTAAATAAAGCATTAATGATTCCTGCCAGTGACATCAGGGTGCAGAGTTTGCATGTCATATAAAATAAGCTGAACGAGTCCGGGCTGCATTGCATGTTTGACGTATTACTGACTTCCCTTACGAAGAGTGCCCAAAATTATCCGGTATTCGATATTCCGGTTAGCATTTCGTTGCTTTAAATCGGTTTTCAATTTTAAGCATTATAGCTTTACTTGCTATGAAATTTTTATACAAGATAATTTTTAAGTTACAATAAAATTGGATGATGTAATTCAGCACAAAATAAACGTACTAAAGAGGAAAAATATAACCCCAAAAATTGAGGCAATTGAGGAAAAAATAGGGTGATCTGAAATGAGTTGGTTTTATATTTTATAGCGTCTGACTTCTGTAATGGATGTCCGCGTTAAGAGAGCTGCAGAACTGTAAAGTTATTACCAACTTGTTGTTGTTTATTACACAGTAAGAAATCTAGCACCATGGCGACGATCTGGTGGCAGAATCAACCAGAAAATCAAACGGGAAACATTGCCTTCAACGGATACGAAAGCGAAATTTGTAAGCAGTCTGCACAGATCCCGGTGCTAACCACTGATGCGGCAACCGAGTGGGAGCTCTTTAGGAGCAGCGTATTCACGATTACCGCCGAATGCTGCAGATTCAAAAAGGTTGGCCTATCAACTGGAAATCAGAAAAGAGCTCCCTGGTGGACACAAGAGAAACAATTGGCGGTTAAAATAGAAGGCTGCATTCAGAAAATTGCTTGGAAGTAAAGAGCGTTCAACTCGCATACGGTATGTAGGAGTGTTCAAGGTGACACCGAAAGCAATAACGAAAATCAACATGGATTACAGCGAGGAGTTCATCGAAGTGTTGGAGACGAATTTCCAGACTACAAACAAGGTATTCTGACAGACCATCCGCCGGCTCCAAGGCGAAAAGCAGAGCAATATAAAAGTCTTGAAAGACAGGTCTGGACACCGTCTTACGGAGGATGAGGACATTCTTTCAGGATGGAGAGAGTAATTTGAGGAAGTCCTCAACTCTGAGCAACCGCAGGAAGACTCGCCTGTAGAGCAGCAGGGAACAGATATTGCTATTTTTGTAGATAAAATCACACAGGCTAAGAAAAGTTTCAACACTGGAAAGCCTGCAGGAATTGATCAAACCCGCTTTGAAATGCTCAAAGCAATAGGCGAACAAGGCATGTGCTGGCTTACACGTGTCTCTGAAACTGCAATGACTACGGGGAAGACACCAGCGACTAGAGAACGGGGATTGCAGTGCCTCGGTTCAAGAAGGGAAAGGAAGTGATCCATTTATCAGGGCATTACTTTATTGAGTCACCCGGCTAAAGCCTACGTAAAAGCACTGAAAATGAGGTGCTGCGGAATAACTGAATCCAATATATAAGAACAGCAGCACGGCTTACAGCCCGATCGAAGCAGCTTTGATCATATATTTGCCCTGCGCCGGATTGTTGAGAAATCATGGGAGTTCGCCCATCCGGTATGCATGTTTCAGTGACCTAGAGAAAGCCTAAGCCTATGACCGAATTCCGCGCGACAGTCCATGGGTGTGCCTGTGAAGATTTTGGATAGATGGATAGTTGCTACCGGCCATCCAATCACTATACGCTGAGAGCAGGTGCAGCCACAGAATAAATGGCGTTAGGTCGAAATTTTTCAGCGTTTGCACTGGTCCCCGACAAGAGGTTCTGTCCCGTCTCCTGTTTTTGGTGTACATGGATAGAATAATGAGGCGTAGCCGGCGTGATGAGTGTATCAAGGTACGAGATATCGAGATGAGCAGGCTGCTATTTGCACACGACCTTGTTTTGCTAGTATCTTCTGAAACTGATTTACAGTGCGCTCTGGAAAGGTTCGCATCCGAGTGCGACGTGGCTGATGTGCGTGTGAACGTTTCTAGAGCGAAAAGGCTAGTGTTTTCTCGTTCTCTTGCCTTTTCATCTTTCCATAAACTAAGAAGCAGTGCAGCCGGTGGAGATGTTCAAGAACCTCAGGCTTGTGTTTAGCGATAATAGAAAATTTGAGGAAAAGATCGACAGGCGGATTGGAGCAGCCAATGGCGTTCTGCGTGAACTGCCCCGAACCAAGCGAACTAAAGCAGAGCTAAGTCTAAAGGCTAACCTCACGGTGTTTCTATCGATCGTCGCCAGCATGCTTACCTACTGTCATGAGTCGGAGACCATCACTCAGAAACTTCGATCCCGGGAACAAGCATCTGAAATGGGCTTTATGCGGAGTTGTTGGCCTTAGATGTCCTGATATGGTTCGAAATACAGAATCTAGTGTAAGCCGCTGCTTGTTCAGATTGAGAAGCCATTGCAGTGGTGATTTGGGCATGTATTGCGAATGCCTCCAAAAAGAAAAGCGAAGCAACTACTGCTTGCCCAAGCAACTGGCAGAAGGCCCAGGGGATCACCAAGATTAACCTCGTACAAATATTTGACAGAAGTATACTTCCGATTCCAGTTGTCTTCTGCTGAAGCTCAGACTCTGGCACAGGATCGGAACGTTGGAAGCTCTGTCTGACGTGTCTGCTTTCGTCATCCGAAAGGAGAAGCGGTTACGGAGGATGAAGATGTCTTTATTTGCATAGTACTTTAACTTAGTCTTCACGTTTCTTAGGGCATTGCTGCACATACTTAACCTTGACAACGAGCTGAATACGGCTCAAAACGTCAGTAATTTCTGTAATAAAATGCATATGTACAGCAATAAGTTAAGGAACATGAAATCGATGTT